GGGCCTTTTTTCTCCTTTAAAAGAATTTGTTCATGGGAAAATATACCATACCAATGGCAGTAACATACTCTAAGTTTATGAGCAAGTCGATTCCATACATAGTTACTGCAGAGTGTATTATAGGCAGTATTTTTGCTGGGAGAAAAGCAGCAGAAACTTGGCAAAGTAAGGGAAAGAGAAAAGGAAGCTTATAATGATAAAGAGCCTTTGTGCCAGTAGAGAGAGAAGAAAAAATCCTAAAGGAATTCACAATGATCCACAGTAATTATAGAATGCAATTTATGGCCATGAAGGGTACAACATGTGATTGGGTATCAAAGAAGAAAGAAGTCATGTTAATTTAGCCTGATTAAAATATATATTGTGAAGCAGAAACTTTTTTATTTGGTTGGTTGATCAGTTGATTTTGGATAGTTTTGGGTAGTATTTAATTAGTTAAAAAGCTATTGAAATGGAATATGGGCCATTTCCAGACAGAGGAATGGTATGAGTGATGGCCTGGGCATGGAATATGTTTGACACACAGTGAAACATCAGATTCACTCTGGTGCTCTGTGTATTTTATGGGAAACATTATAAAGGATAAAGGGCAAAAATTCAACTGAAACACAGTTACTATCGGCCATCTGAGAATTGTGTACTGTCCAGGAGAAAAGAGAGCTCTCAGTGAAACAGAAGAGTTAATACAACAAGACATTGTGTCTGTCTGTACTCCTATATATTTTATCCATTAAAGACATTAATGGATTTTATCCATTTTATGGCATTTATTTTATTATTTTATGACATTTATCCATTAATGACATTAATGCATATAATATATAGGAGTACAGACAGGCACAATGCAGGATAAACTATTAGGAGGTCACTGCAATACTCTAGCTAATGGTTACAACAATCTGACACTGGGTATTTGCAATAGGAATAGAAAGAATGTAATAGAGGAAAGAGATATTTTGGAGATTTCAAGCATAATTAATGGGAGAAAATGGAAGGTTATTATATTTCAGAGAAGCATAAAGTCCAGTGATAACTTTAACTTGTATAAATTTAGTGTGCTCTCAGGAGAAGGTGGTGTTTACTTTGTTCTTTTAGAACCTTGTACGGGTGAGTGGGTTACTGAATAAACAAATGTTTGTCTAACACAAATTTAGAGGATGTGCTCTTGTAGATATATGTGTAGTTCTGAATAGTCCATTTAAAGACAGATACTAGGTTTTCTTCCAGGGTTTCTAGAGTTTCACGTCTTACTTTTAAGTCTGTAATCCATCTTCAATTGCTATTTGTATATGGTGAGAGAGATGGGTCCAGTTTTGTTCTTCTACATGTGGCTAATCCAATTTTCCCAGCACCATTTATTGAATAAGGTGTCCTTTCCCCAGTATCTGTTTTTGTTGACTTTGTTGAAGATAAATTGGCTGTAGGAATGAGTCTTTATTTCTGGGTTTTCTATTATGTTCTATTGATCCATATGTCTATTTTTATACTATTAATAGTAGCATGCTGTTTTGGTTACTATAGCCTTATAGTATAATTTGAAGTCAGTTAATCTGATGCCTCCAGCTTTGTTCATTTTGCTTAAGATTCATTTGATATTTGGGCAGAGCCACAGTCTTTAAATATTTGAATGGACGTATTGTGACAATCACACTTAACATATTTTTAAGTGGCACAGTAATATTATCTAACACAAACTCAAAATTCAAATGTATCCAATTGTCCCAATAGCTTTCTTTATAAACATCTTTTTTTTCTTTTTATTTCTTCTTAGGATTGAAAGGTAAATAACCTAGCATCTAAACAAGGGAACCAGTGTGTGTGTGTGTGTATGTGTGTGTGTGTGTGTGTATGTGTATATATATATACACAATATATTTATATATTGCCTTGGCTTTTAAGAAAGCTTACAAGATCTCGCACTGTCTTAATAGAGTGACAATAACCAAATCAATCATCCTTCTCATTGCTGCTCTGGATAGAATGCACCTGGAGAAATGACTGCAGTTATGGATAGCTCGCTGAGAGCTTTTACTGATAATCTGAAGTGTGTTCAGAATAAAATAACCAGGGTGATGGGGAATGAAAAACCCAAAAGTTTCACATGATAGATTCTGATGATCCTTAGGCTGGAGAAGCATAGGCTAGGGAAGTGGGCATAGCTCTTGTTGTTAAATACTTGAATAAGTGCCTTTATGATTTGAATTCTGTTTCTCCAAAAAGATATGATTAAGTCCTGATGATCATTACTCAGAATGTGACCTTATTTGGAAATGGGGTCATTGCAGATGTAATTTGATATGGTAAAGTCATATTGCAGTAGGGTGGGCCTTTAATCCAATATGACTGGGATCCTTATAAGATCATGGCCATGGGAAGATAGAAACACAGTAGAATGTCAGGCACTGACAAAGGCAGAAATTGGAATTGTACTGCTGCAAGCCAAAGAGCACCAAAGATTGCCTGCAAACCACCAGAAAATATGAAGAGACAAAGAAGAATTTTACTACAGCTTTCAGAGACAGGACAGCCCTGCTAACACCCTGATTTGAGACTTCTAGCTCCAGAACTGTGAGACAGTAAGTTTGTTTTGTTTTAAGACACCAGGTTTATGGTACTTTGTTACAGCAGCCCTAGAAAACAAATACAATGTACATAAATAGGTAAGGTTTATTCATTCAGTTCCAAGAAATAATTAGGATGTAGTAAGCAGAAATGAAGGGAAAACAGAACATGAACAAGAACTTGCTAGTAATTAAAGCCACTACAAAATGAACTCAAGGGCTCCAGCAGGTTTTAAATTACCTAGTATTACAAATGTTCAAGCAGGATGAATCAGAGATGGTGCAGAGGTGATTACTCATGCATCAGATGGAAGGTTAGACTGAATAACCTCCAAGTGAAATATTATATAATCCTATCTTAAAGCCCTGTCAAATAGAGCTGGTAGCTTCCTTTTCCTTTTCTGCTCCAATCAAGAGGATATATGGGTGATATAGCATGGTGGATAAGACTTAAATTCAAGATATAGTACTTAGTTTTACTTTTACGTACTCCAGTACTTAATTTTTTCTTAGACAGATCCCTTAACTTCTCTCTCCTTATTTTCCCATCTGTTAAACAGAGATATTAATACTATTCATTTCATAATGTTTTTATGATGACACTAGTTAATAATTTAAAATGCTTAGAACAAGGCACAGCACATAGTAATGACTAAAGAGGTGTTTTTGAACATATACTTGCTCTACTATTATCTAGATTGCCTAGATATAATGCATTAAGTCTTCCCACCAGCGCCATTCCTCATGTCCAAAATACAGGGTTAAAAGATTAGAAATAATTGCATGTTTTCTAAAAGTCCTGTGCATTTTTCTAGATCTAATATTGTACTATTTGGACAACTTGTTGACCAAGTACCAGAAATATAATATTTTTTGTCAATTTTCTCATAACAAACTGTGATAATGTGTTTGTCAACTGCTAGGATGGGTTTGTGTGTGTGTGTGTGAATATGTGTGTGTGTGTGTTTCAAGTGTTTATAGAAAATAAATCACTCAATGGCATCATTTTCAAATAATAACGACTACAGCTACCCTGATTAAGGTTCACCTAAGTTTTGGATATTACCACGCAAGAGTTAGAGGATGATGTGAAGTTTTCAAAATTAAATCCTCCCAAATCCAGATATTTTGTTAAATTGACATCTGTTGATAGCTGACAGCCAATTTCAGCTTCAGGAACTAGTAAGAACATTTTCCAGTTTACGAAACTATTAATACAAGTTACATAATTGTCAAAAGAAATCCTCATTCAGTGATTTAAATGTAACAAAATGAGGTTTTATTTATTCACTATATAAAGATACTAATCCCTGCATTATTTGGGTGCATGGGTGACAGCTCTGACAAGTTTGTGATGCCCCGGACAAATTCAGTAACTTTCACTGAAGCAAACCCATGAATAGATGTGATGGCAGTGTGTACACCTGTATAACTTCAGAGCTAGTGATTATGTAACTTTTATATATGTCAGACCGAGGGAGGACAGAGAATGGAGGAACTGGATGTTCTTTCAGTAAAGAGCAACTGAATGAGACAGGACAGCTTTTGAACTGGGGATATACTACAAGGCAATGAGGGAGGCTGGTTATGAAAGTATTGAAAACTATGATTGCAGGGTGATGTTTAGAGGCCCTAAGGTAATAGAAAGGAGGCAAAATTGAGTGTCTGGAACTTATATGTACTTTATTATAGTACTCTCATTTTCACCAAAGAAGGCAACCCATGTGGTGAAAAGACCACAAGTATTGGAGCTAAAGCCAAGTTATAGCTGTAGTTTTATATTTTGTGAGCCCATATGTCCTCAGACAAGTTTTGTGAATTAATTTCCTGTGTCTCAGCTTCCTCTTTTATAAAATGTGGGTAATATCATTATCCCTTAAGATTGTTGTCAGCATTAAAAAACGTAAGTATATGAACCATCTAGCTCAGTATTTGGCAAAGGTGGGAGCTGAATAATTTTTGGCTCTCACCTTAAAAAAAACCCTATTTGTTAAAAGTTCCAAATGCAGGATTTAGGAGCAGATATGGGTCAAGGTCATGGATGAGGTAACCACTACAGTGCAATAAAAATTGCTAGTTCCTAATTTATTTTAACTCAGCAACCATTTCTTGAGACTCTACTACATATTGAGTACTGAGGGAATAGAAAGATGAATCAAAGACCATTTTAAAACGTCTGAAACTTGCAATTCAAAATCAAGTGAAAATAAATACAGCCTTATAATTTATTGAGAAGTATCATGCAAGGCAAATAAACTGATTTTAAGCATGTACTTAGCATTCACACAGATTGACAGATTCAGTGAAAACACAACATGGCCTTCAAGTATTTTTCCTTTTAAATACATATTTGTGGACTTTATAGAAATATTGACATTGTTTCCTCACCAATACATATTTTCTTTGTTGAGTGACCATTCCTTTTTCTTTTCAAATTAGTTTGTGTGGCAGTGTGGAAGAACCACCACATGAGGACAGTAACCAACTACTTCATAGTCAATCTTTCTCTGGCTGATGTGCTTGTGACCATCACCTGCCTTCCAGCCACACTGCTCGTGGATATCACTGAGACCTGGTTTTTTGGACAGTCCCTTTGCAAAGTGATTCCTTATCTACAGGTAATTGTTTTTTTATGTTTTTTTGAAGCTACTAAAAAAATGTTCAGTCATAGCCATGACCCTTATGGTAAATTAACTAGTGAACTGAGAAATATATTTGCCTAAGGCATTGGCAAACTGAAGGAAAATAATACTTGAGAATTTATGGGGAAATGAGTTAAGTTCTGGGTAAAAATAAAGCAACAATCTGCCAAATCATCATTAGATGCTGCACAAAAATTTTTGCACAACTTTTTTGATTCCTTGTTTGATTTCAAAAGTTTGATTTTGCACAAACATTTTTGATTCCTAATTTCCCCATTGTTAAATAAGAACCTTGAACCAATTAATGATTTAACCAATTAATGATCTCCCCAAACCAATTATTGATCTTTCTCTTGAACCAATTAATTATCTTCCAGTCCAAATCATTGAGAATATTTGTTTTTACCAGTGATTTTATTTTATACTGAAGAATTAAGACCTACTCGGTCAAATCAGTGCCATGAACAGGTTTTAGTGTAGATTCTAATTCAAACTACCAGATTTGGAATCTCCATTCTGCCATTCACCAATTGTATGCTATCAAGCCAAATAGTTGTAATTCACTTATCCAAAAGGATAATTTTAATGAGATCTACCTCATATGGTTGCTGTGACCATTTACTTAGATAATTAATATAAATAACTTGGCTCAGTGATTACCCTGTGGAAGATGATGATTTTATAAAAACAGTATGTTCTCAATAAACATCAATTATCAGCATCAGAATCATCATTAGTAGTTGTTTTTCTTTCCTTAAGAGTGAAAACAGCTTCTTTTTCCATTTAATTGCCATTTCAGTAATTAAGAACAAATACTTTCAGAGATTAGTGTTCTGATTGTTATTATAGCTCTAAAATTCTTGAAACAAAAAATTCATAAGATGATGTTCACATTCATACATCCATCCTAAAGGATGGATTTCCCTTACGAATTGGACAGCAAGTGAAATGGTGACCACTCTCTACTTGTCTTCCCATAGTCTTCCGGCATCCTCAGTTGTTACTCCATGCAGTCTCCCAGATGGTGATTATAATATTTTAAGGAAACAGAAAATAATCTCCCAGTAACAAAAAGTTAGTGGGTGGGGGGGGGCATAAATAGCCTATTACTAGATAAGCTGAATGAAATGTTGCAAAGAGATATTTAGTTCAATAGTTCCCCAGTTACCTCTTATAAAAAGAAGTGAAAAAAATTTAAGGTTAAACTTTTTCTTATAGAATAGTAAGTGGAAAATACTATAGAAGTGATAAGCTCCATGCATATCTTATGTTTAATTATAAAGCTAGTTTGGGTCAGCCTGCTGAAAATCATGAATGGATTACAAAATGAACAGTAGCACATTGTTTTGAGGAAATAGTACATGGGACAACAGAGAAAAATATCCTCATAGAAGAAAAGTTACTAAGCAATGAATGGCTCTGGTGGTGTTTGCATAGAGGCACTAGGAAAATAATACATTTCAGATAATTCTAATATTTCATTATCTCTGTGGTACTTCCAGAAAGCCTTTTACCTCTCTCGGTTTCAATAACTACCCAGGAGAATATTTTGAGGATTCTCTTAAGTTTTGGTATGGCTGCAGTTGCCAAGAGTCTTCGACTGGGAATATTTCATGTTCTCTCTGTGAATCAGAAGATTCCCTGGTGATAGGTGAAATGATAAGGGCAGGTGCAATCATGTGCTAATGCAGAGCGATAGCTTTCTGCAGAGCAGGCATCTCAGAGTTTCCTGTGAGTATTTGCACTAGAGGACAGAATGGAAGCAATGTAACCAGCTAGTGATGCAGGGCATGAGTGTCTCTTGCAATCACTGACAGTCCGCTTTCACACAGCAGAACTACTTAACAAATCTTACAGTCCAAGGAATATCCTCATCTCTGGAAGAATTCTGTCTGCCTCTCCACACACAGTGTCTGATCTAATCAGTTCCTTAGCTGATCCTCTTCTCCATAGAGCAAGGAAAGAAAACTACTGGGTGATCACATGATGCAAAAGACTAGATCCATTTGTTACGCCATCCAACATTACTTCTTAACTGAAGGGTGTAAATGCACCAAGAGATTTGTGCATGGGTAAAACTAGTATTTCAAAATTCTTGATATTTATTGCCTCATTTTTCATAGAATTTTCCCAAATGCAATGAATAGTGCCGATGGGCAATAAACATATAATTTAAATTTGAGCAGTTTTTCTCCCTAGTTGTGACATTTTGAAACGAATGACTTATATCCCTGATATGATATTTATGTCTTACTGAATATTTTAAAACACATTACATCATGTCCAGCCACATTTTAAAGTTATTTGGTTGCATTTTAGATTATTTGGGCATTTACTAATTTGCTATAATTTATATGTTCTTTTTCTTCTAAATACAATACAGCCTTTAGATTTATGAGTGATATGCTGTAACACATTGGCAAATGCACAAAAATCTTAAAAGTCTCACAAATGTTATAAAGCTTGGCCAAATAATTAAAATGACTCTTTTGTATCTTTAATAATTGTATAACTCCAAGACAATTAATATGTATTTGGTTATTTGCTGAATAATTATCATGTATTTCACTTCTCTTCCAGCAATGACAATAGCATTGGTTACTTTTTCAGAGTGATTTTTCTTTTTTAACTGCAGAAGAAGCCCTACACAGAAAATGTTAAAAAAAAAAAAAAAAAAAAAAAAAAAAAAAAAAAGCCAAGTGAGATGTGGGAGGTGGGGAATGGGTGGTCAAACAAGCTCCCTCTCTTTCAGTCATACTTGGCAACCTTTCTACCTATTAGTGTTTATCATCCAAATCTGTGATTTGGCAAAATTTTCCTTTCTCCTTATAGTGAATATTTAAGATCACCTTGACATATCTATTTGCTAGTATAAAACAGTGGACTTCTCTACTAAAGGAAATCTCCAAATACTACCCAGTGTGAAGGGTGCCCATAGTATAGGTCAAAGGCCAAGTACCTGAAGGCAGAAGAAAATTCCCATTATCTCTCCACTTCATTCTCAACGTTCATAATCCACACTAGATTCACTTCTCAAATGACTTACTATTAGACTGACTTGAGCTAATATCAGAATCCAAATGAAAAAGACACCCAGAAGTACACGCTTAGAAGTTAAAAGCAATAACAAAACTTTCACTTATAATTACTCATGATAAAATGCAATTTTATATCACCTCCAAGAAAATTGTATACACTGCACATAATTGTATATTAATGTGTCAAATGCAGAAACAAATATAGTAGTTCAAACAATGAATATTAACTCACTGATTGTCAAGGGTTCATTCAATGGATTGGTTCATTCTACTGTTAGATAAATCACACTAGCATATTCCCCACATTTCTGTGTGGTGAAGGGCAGTGCTCCCTGGGTCACTGTTGGTGCTGGATGTCAGTCTTTCAAGTGAACTGATATGAATTGATCATTATGACCTAATGGCATTAGGAAACACTAGAAATGACATTCATATTTGAACCATGCTACATCTATCCCATTTATCCATGTTGATTAGATTAATGGATTATAAATTGCTAAGCCTTGATGAACACTTTGTACTTCTAGTTGCTAGAGAGGATTAATATATCTCTAGCCCAGAAGCTATGAAAAGGCTACTGTGCAAATCTATACAACCATAGTTCTATTCCCAGGTTAGCAATGGTATTGAGGGGCCTGAGGTGCTTAACTTATTTGCAGAGAAGGAATGGAGGTTGTAGAGAATAAGGTGAGACTGGTTTGAGAAAGGAAATTGAAGGTACTCTAAGGTAGCACTAAGAAATTTCCAGGAGTCACTAATCAACTTAAGCCCATTCTCACAGAGTCCAGCCCTTTAAAATTACACTCAAAATGATATTAGTCTCCAATAATTTAGCAAAGGTTAGGCTTTCACTTGTAATTTTATGAATATTCTTTGAAAAGCTATCTGTTCCAATTAAAATATAGAACTTCAAGCTCAAGAATGAAAGATAAAACTAATAGTATAATCATTATTGTAATTATTATTATAATCATAAGTAATAGCAAACACACAGCACTTATATGCCAGCCTTGGAATAGACATTTTCATCTCAACTAACTGTCCATACAATTGCATGGTTAAGTACTATTAATCATCCACATTTTACAGATGAGAAAACTGAGGAATGGAGAGGTTAAATAACCTCCCTAAGATCACTCCGTTAGTCA